GAGATTTCAGTCTGTGGCCATTATAATTAATTTATATAAAACATGTTCTCATTTAATCGACCAAATCTTAAGACAAACTATAAATATAATAATCCTTTATAAGGAATAATGACTGCGAATGATGTTTTCGAGTGTGACGTCACGGAACCGGGCGTGACGTCACCGCCACACCTGAGTTTCTGCGGAAGGTAAAACTTTCGAGCAGAGATTGAAACGCTCTTCACACGGACTCACGGCGACCGTGCGAGCGCGTTAGCTGATTTACAACCGGTTAACGACGACTTCAATCCGGTTTCTTCATAAAGCAGCTCGTTTTGGCTGTAAAGGCCTCAGGATTGCTGGGTTTTCTCCTGTTTTGACGCTCAGACGCTTCCTGAAGCCCTCAGGTGAGCCTCATTAATATTTAAATCACATTTATATTTAATAGAACACACGTAAATATGCTTTACTATCGGAATTTCAGTGTTTTTAATCGACCACAGTTTTATGTGAGAGTATATCAAAGTCACCGGCTGCTTATTTACTCAATTGATTAATCTATGTTACGATTATTTCTGATTATAGGTTGAATTAATGATCATATTAAGTATAATTATTAGCATCAGCTTTATCTGGGCTGTGTCAAGTTATGAAACTTGTGAAAGTGTGGTTTAGGCTGCTGCTAGTAATACAAATACTAACTAATATATGTGTTAATATTGTTGTTAATGTGATGAAAATAGATTAAATAACATATAATCAAAACATTACATTCTTTTATTAATTATTATACCATTTATGATTTCCTCCTGCGTATACTCATCATGTTAATATCATATTTTTATTGTCATAATACTATTTATTCATTAATATAATATTATAAAATATATTAAAAATAGCAACATATTGCATAATAATAATTTATTTAAAAAACAATTGCTGTGTAGTTTGTTTGATCATTTTTATCTTTATTTATGTAATTTTGCTCCTCTACAGAATGTCATTTTAATATATGAATAGTAATAATAATAATAATAATGGTGTGTTTATCAATTAATATAAAATTACTAATAATATTAAAACATGTATTAAAATAAAAATGTATTAAAAATATTAGTGTTTGTAGCCCGTTTGATTTATTTTTAGCCTCATGTATGTATTTTTTTCTCCTTTACAGAAGGTCATCATGTTAATATAATATTTGTATTAATTATAATAATATTATAATTTTATAGAAATAAAGTATGATAATTTTTCATAAAAAATTTAGTTAGATTATTTTTAGTCTCAGTTATGTTTTTCCTTCACAGAAGGACATCGTGATATTTTATTAATTATTACATTAATTGTAAATATTTTTTAATTAATATAATATTATAATAATTATAAAATATATTAAAATAACAAAAAATAAAACTTTTTTAGTAAATATTAGTGTTTGTAGGCTGTTTGATTATTTTTATCCTCATTTGTTTTTTTTTCTCCTCTGTCATCATATTAATATAACATTTGTATTAATTATTAAAATAAAATATCTATTAATTAATATAATATTATTAACATTTTAAAATGTATTAAATATAAAAGTATTAAAAAGTATGGTTTATTAATATAATAGTTTTATTACATATTGTAAGTGTTTGTAGGCTGAGTTAGATTATTTTCAGGCTGGTTTGTGTGTTCTTCCTCCTCTCCAGAAGGTGGTCATGTCCTCTCATCCGCGGCGAGTGCGGCTCAAGCCCTGGCTGGTGTCTCAGGTGGATAACGGGACGTTTCCCGGTCTGATCTGGCTGAACCGCGAGACCAAACGCTTCCAGATCCCGTGGAAACACGCCACGCGTCACACGCCGCAGCAGGAGGAGGAGAACACCATCTTTAAGGTGAGGGATGGAGGGCCCGGATTACAGCGGGACGGGACTGACCCGATCCGTGTGTGTTTGTCAGGCCTGGGCCGTGGAGACCGGGAAGTATCAGGAAGGCGTGGACGAGCCGGATCCGGCCAAATGG